TGATGTATAATTGCTTGTATGTTACAAGTGCATTTTTATATGTACACTTGTATGTATGCATACAGGAAAACACATGGATCACTAACAGCTAATGGCAGGAAAAAAATTATTTAGTTTTGAGATATTTATGAGTACATCATAAGCAAACCTGAACAGGAGAGTTTTGAGTAACATAATGAATGTTTCAGCCACAACTATTATTATTTATATCATCATTTTCAGAAGCAGGTCCTGTTGAACTTCATGCTCAATTTTTTAATGAATTCATTTATCACAGAGAAATGTTTTCACCTATCACAAATATGTTTATTATGTACAATCGCACATTACACAAAATTTTAAACTATAGGGTAGGTGCTTGTCAGATAACTATTATGAGAAGAATCTTAGGAATGCTGGTTTTCAATCCACAATTCTCTTTCAATTTAGTTTGTCAAGTCCGTTAGTTATCTATTTGACTAATACAAAATTTTAGCCCTGTTCTTTAAGAAAGGATTTTAAAAGTTTTGTCAGGAGGTATTTCATTTTTTGATATTCCATTAGTTCAAAGAATTATAAGATAAAATAAGAGATTTACCAAGACTTACTGTAAGTAAGAATGCATCAATAGTTTAATAACCAGTAATGCCAAAATTTTGGATTTCAAATCATCTTATATTTGTTATTGTTTGATGTTTTTACGCCTGCCAACATGCATAGGAGAGAATAAAATAATGACTCATACTGAAGTAAACAATGCTAAGGAGGCTTATACTGTACATGTATATGGAGGATACTACAGATAAGCAAACACTGAATTTGTGCAACACTGTCATGTTTGGAAGTAAAGGCTGTTCCACACTATTGACGCAAGCACATAGAACAGGCATATACTGTAAGACGAGTGGAATGTTTTAACCTTATGCTTACTGTATGTTTATGTCGTAGTGAAGACCCGGCTTAAAAATGCTAATTTCATTCAGAGAAGCTAAGTGGTCCAATTGTATACATTTATAGTTTGTACCCTGATGGTAATAGTTTGTTGTTTCAAAGTGGAGTTGGAATCTTGTGAAGCTATATATGCATGTTACAATGCACAGCAGTATCACTAGACAACTGAGTTTAATTGGATGTTATTTTATGACAATTGGCTCTTTTGGGAATGCATTGATATCAAACAGAATCATTCATTTCTGGATATCAATTAAAACACAACAGATTGACAATAGTTGGAATTTTTGCTAATGAGACCCATGACACATAATAGAGCATACTTGTTTATAGACTACCAGCCCATCTGTGGTTGGTATTTCACTCAGTTATTGTTAACATTATACTCAACTCTTATATACTAACACCTGTCCRCAGTGAAATATTTACCTYTGGTGTACTTCTAGAGTCAACCAATACAGGATACAGGTGAGTTATTGATACATGTGAGATATCATCCTAATATAACTGAGAGGTTTTAATATAATGTCTGTGTAGATATTAACTAAGCCGTTCGTTCTCATCATACTAGATTTATTACTTTTAATGCAGTTATTAGTTTAATAGCAGAAACAGTTAAGATGAATAATCCCATTCTAGTTATTGTGCAGCTTAGTATAGTATCAGCTTAGCTATGGAAG